AACCATTTGTGGGGGGCTGGGAAGGTGGCTCAGTGGTAAAGCGCTTGCCTTGCATGCTTGAGGCCCTGGGTTCGATTCCTCAGTACCCATAAGCAAAAAAAAAAAAGCCAGAAGTGGCGCTGTGACTCAAGTGGTAGAGCGCTAGCCTTGAGCTGAAGAGCTGAGGGGCATCGCCCAGGCTCAGAGTTCAGGCCCACGACTGGACCCAAAATAAAACAAAACAAACCATTTGTGAGGGAAGGGTGGTCCTGGGGCTTGAATTCAAAACCTGAGCATTTTGTCTCTTAAGCTTTTTTGCTCTACCATTTGAATCCACTTATGGATTTTTGGTCATTAATTGGAGATACAAGTCTTATGAACTTCCTTGCCTGGGCTGGCTTTAAGCTGACATCCTTAGATCTCAGCCTCCTAAATAACCAGGATTACAGGCATGAGCTGCTAGTACCTGGCAAAGTCAAAAATTTTGACAAGTAGAGATTTACATGTTATTGTATGTTGCTATCAATATACACAACGTTTTAGGTTGAGGGTATAGCTCAGTGGCAGAGTATTTGTCCAGTATGTGGGAGGCTCAATCCCTGGCACCACTAAATAAATATAAATTTTAAAAATTAAATAAAAACTAATATTTCTATCAGATCAGTGATCTACTATGTTTCCTTCCCTCCATCCCTCCCTCCATCCCTCCCTCTCCTCTCTCTCTCTTTCTTTCTTTCTTTTTTCTGTCTTTCTTTCTTTCTTTTTTTCTGTTGTCGGTTGTGGGGCTTGAACTCTAGGCCTGGGCGCTGTCCCTCAGCTTTTCAGCTCAAGGCTAGCGTTCTACCACTTGAGCCACAGTGCCACTTCTGGTTTTCTGGTGGTTAATTGGAGATAAGAGTCTCAAGGATTTTCCTGCCCCGGCTGGCTTTGAACCTTGATCCTCAGCTCTCAGCCTCCTGAGTAGCTAGGATTACAGGCCTTCAGTGGCCCAGACAAGATCTTGATAAGTAGCCTAGGCTGTCCTCAAACTTGAGATCTTCCTGCCCCTATCTCTATATTGATTGGATTACAGGTATGCATCATCAAACCCGGCTTTTATTATATAGTTTATTATTGTTATTATTATTATTATTAGCCGGTTCTGGGCTTGAGCAAGCTCTACCTCTTGAGCCACAGTGCCACTTCTGTTTTTTTTTCTGTTTATGTGGTACTGAGGAATTGAACCCAGGGCTTCATGCATGTTAGGCAAGCACTCTACCACTAAGCCACATTTCCAGACTTTTATTACACAATTTATTTATTTTTGTCGGTTGTGGGGCCTGAACTCTGGGCCTGGGCGCTGTCCCTCAGCTTTTCAGCTCAAGTCTAGAGCTCTACCACTTTAGCCATCGTGTCACTTTTGGCTTTTTCTGCTTATGTGGTGCTGAGGAATCAAAGCCAGGGCCTCATGCATGCAAAGCGAGCACTCTACCACTGTGCACTCTACCTACCTTCCCAGCCCCATATTATACAATTTAAACAAGACTTCCTGAGGATAAACTGTATTTTAGATAGACATACAATTGCTTCTAAAACCTTTGTAAATCATTGTTCTGAACTTAATCTTATTCTCTCAAATTTCATTTGTTGAGGTATAACCACTAGTAGCTCAGCATATGACTATTTGGAGATAGGGCCATAAAGTGGGGTTGTTACTTTCGTCACAGGATCAGTCAAGAAAAAGTGCAAACAGTTTGAAAACTCTTTAAGTTATAAGAGCATGAAATATGAGGGGTACAAAAGAGATGAAAAGGCTCACAGTGAGTTTATATGCTCTGTGGTTACAGTCAAAAGTCAAAATTAAAGTGGGTGGCTTTGTCATAATATCAAAATCAGGTATTTTAGAAGAGAACACTGTACATTTTAGAGTTGGGAGAGGCTCTCAGAGAAATAGCATATGCTGTATTTTCTTCCTATCAAAATAGGACTTTGTTCTTAGTTTATTTCCTTTTATAGAATGGTAAATTATTCAAGTTACATAGTTGAATGTAATAAAGAACAAAACAAATGTTTTCTCCCCTGTCTTTCTTCTTAACAGCCTATGTTAAACACACAAATCAAATAAAAAAAAAAAAAAAGAAAGAAAACCTGACAGACAAGTCCTTCTGACATACTTGACCTTTTCATAGTGACAATAACTACTGGTAAAACTATTCCTTTTGTGCAAGCAGGAAACTATAAGGCAAAAACAGGTAGTGACTTAAGTTAGACTTTCATGTCTTTTTTTTTTTTTTTTGGGGGTCCAGTCATGGGGCCTGAACTCTGGGCCTGGGCGCTGTCCCTCAGCTCTTCAGCTCAAGGCTAGCGCTCTACCGCTTGAGCCACAGCGCCACTTCCGGTTTTTGAGTGGTTTATTGGAGATTAAGAGTCTCACAGACTTTCCTACCAGGGCTCGCTTTGAACCACAATCCTCATATCTCAGCCTCCTGAGTAGCTAGGATTACAAGCTTGAGCCACCAGCTCGGGCTCATGCTTTTTTTCTTAATGGCGATTTCCTCTGATCCTTGAGGGATATCAAGGATCTACTATATAATCTGTTAACTACTACAAATTTATAAACACACAAAGGAAAGGTATTTTTTCTCTAGTATAGAAGCAAATTCTGATATTAAGGTCAGCAGAAAATTAATCAGTTCTTTGGAAAATTCAAACAGTGGTAGGGTGATTGCCTAGCATGCACAAAGCCCTAAATTTGTTCCCCATCATCATTAAACCAAACCAGACCAGACCAAATCAACCAATCAACCAAAAACCCTAAACAAAATAAAAAGCTTTTGTTTTTACCTCTCTCTCTCTCTCCCTCCCTCTCCCTCTCCCTCCCTCTCCCTCTCCCTCCCCACTCCCTCTCTCTCCCTCCCTCCCTCTCTCTCTCTCTCTCTCTCTCTCTCTCTCTCTCTGTTTTCTTTTTGAGCCCTGGGGATCAAACCCAAGGCCTTATCCTTGTAAGGGCTTTACCACTGAGTTACATTGCAGACCTTACAGATCTTTTAGGCCTTCGATAGTTAATGAACATTTCCTAGGAAGTACATAAGTGTTGTCTCAAAGCAGTATTTATACCGTCAAGCTCTATTTCGATGCCTTATTGAGTTGTTTTTATCTTTTTATTTGATTTGCTTTTTATAAAACAGTAGCCTCAACTTTTTCAGCTAGCAGAATATAGTGGGCAAGATTTTCTGATATACATATCTCTAAAACTAGTTTAAAAATAAATGTGCTGGTGGCTTTCATCTGTAATCTACTCAGGAGGCTGACATCTGAGGATTGTGGTTTGAAACCAGCCTGGGCAATAAACTACTCAAAAAAAGCTAGAAACCGGACACTGGTGGCTCATGCCTGTAATCCCTGCTGCTCAGGAGGCTGAGGGCTGAGGATCACTGTTCAAAGCCAGCCAGGGCAGGAAAGTCTGTGAGACTCACCTCCAATTAACCACCAGAAAACCTAAAGTAGTGCTGTGGCTAAAGTGGTGGAGCACTTGCCTTGAGCTGAAAAGCTCAGAGACATGCCCAGGCCCAGAGTTTAAGCCCCAATACAGACAAAAAAAAAAAAAAAAAAAGCTGGAAGTGGAGCTGTGGCTCAAGTGGTAGAGCACTAGTCTTGAACAGAAATGCTCAGGAACAGAGCGCATCTAGGCTCTGAGTTCATGCCCAATGGGGAAATATACATGGATCAAATTTTTCAACTTGCTAATTCAACAGAACAAAAAATGTTGTAGAGCAATAATAAATCAATAAATCTATGAAGCATAAGAAATAAGAATATTCCTAAGAAGACAGGTTACCAGAAATATGTAGCCAAATGATTTCTACTTAAGGACAATTATCAAAGCCCAATTTAACATTTTTTAAATATCAAGTAATATTTTAAGTTGTTAATTTTTCAAAAGTTAGGCCAGTAATAAATCTAGCTTTATTTTAGTAGTCACTCAATATTTTCTTGGATACCTGAATGAACTTGGCTCAAAAGGTAGAGTCCTGGGCTGAGAATGTGGCTTAGTGGTAGAGTGCTTGCCTAGCATGCATGAGGCCCTGGGTTCAATTCCTCAGTACCACATAAATAGAAAAAGCTGGAAGTGCACTGTGGCTCAAGTGGTAGAGCACTAGCCTTGAGCACAGAGAGGCTCAAGGACAGCACCCAGGCCCTGAGTTCAAGCTCCAGGACTGGCAAAAACAAAAAGGTAAGAGTCTTTATTTAACAAGCTCAAAGCTCTGAGATCAATCCCTAGTGAAACTCCTATCCCGGCCCCCAAATCTTAGAGAGCAGATTCTTTAAAATAGGACATCTATATATGCTTTCATAACTTCTTCATGAGAGAAAGAGTAATGGGAAAATACAATAAAAAGTTAAATCACAAAAGAAAAATAATGTATACTGCTACTAGGAAAGGAAAATATTTGGTTATTTAGAAAGACTATCTATAGACCAATTCTACTACAAAATAAATGTCCTATTAATAAAATTAGAAAAGGAATGCTGAAATTATTTTTAATAATTTATTTTTTTCCAAAATTAAAAAATTCTCATCAATTGCTGAAATTTAACTTCTCTAAAATATTAGAAGAGAATGAAAAATGTATTCTTGGTATAAGCAACCAATTCATCATTTATTTCTAAAATAGCTAATCATACATGTTCTCATCTTTTCATTTTAAGACTTTTTTTCTCCTAAATCTCAAGAATAGTTGAATATAAGAACTCTTTCCTACTTTAATAAGATGTTATTATATCTCCATCAAACTGACTTGAAAAATTGTAAGTATGAAATCTTATGCTTATACTTATGAGTTCAATTATACTTACGAATTTTACTCTGAGTATCAGTAGTAAACTCCCAAATTCCTCCATCTCCAAGATGGAGGAATTCTAAGGTTAATTTAAGGTTATTCTAAGGTTAATTTACCATTAACAATATTTCATCAGATTACTTCCTATGACATTGCAGCATGTGATTCTTTGAGAAAGCCTGACAAATCTAACTGCATTACCTCTTTATCTTTCAGTCCCAGGAGCAATACTTCTTCCATAAGGGTGAGGCGGATATCCTTAGCGTCACCAGAATCTTCATTATCTGGACTCTTCTCTTGACTAGTGTCTTCCTCACTTTCTACCTTCTTTTCACAGTTCTTGCTTAATTCAGTACGACGGGTACGATGAGTTAAAGTGGTCATTCTCACCTAATTTTAGAAGGAGTAGTTAAAAATATCTGAATAATAAAAATGTTAAATACATATATGTATGCTTATAAGCATATTTGTATACTAAAATGTACACAAGTGGAAAGTATTTATAAACTTAAATATAGATATTAATGACCAGAAAAATTGGGAATGTATCCCAGTATCTTTTCTAAAATCCAACAGTTTTAGACCACAGCAATGACAAGAGATCAATCAGTAATTTTAATCAAAATGATCACCTTTTTTTTTTTTTTTTTTTTTTGGGGTCCAGTCGTGGAGCCTGAACTCTGGGCCTGGGCGCTGTCCCTCAGCTCTTCAGCTCAAGGCTAGTGCTCTACCACTTGAGCCACAGTGCCACTTCCGGCTTTTTTTTTTTTTTTTTTTTGCTTATGTGGTGCTGAGGAATCGAACCCAGGGCCTCAGGCATGCAAGGCAAGCGCTCTACCACTGAGCCACCTTCCCAGCCCAAAATGATCACCTTTTAACATGCTGACTTCTTGCAATTCTGTAACTCAGTAGGGTATTCTACTGTGGTTATCTATCTTTTACAAAATAGATCTCTAAACCCAGAGTTGGTGACTCATGCCTATAATCCTAGCCACTCAGAAAGCAGAGATTTGAGAATCCCAGTTTGAAGTCAGTCCAGGCAGGAAAATCTGTGAGACTCTTATCTCCAATTAGACACCAAAATAAGTTGGAAATTGGGGATGTGGCTCACGTAGTAGAATGCCAGCCTTGAGCTTTAATAAAACTAAGGAACAGTGTCCATGCACTACTGACAAATAAAAAACAAAACAAAACAAAAAACAAACCCCAAAACTTCTAAGTATGAAGTGGCTCAAATAGCTCAAGGAGTATTAGAGTGCTTGCCTAACTAGTTCAAAGCTCTGTATTCAAACCCTAGTGTGGCCCAAACAAAACAAAACAAAATGGATCTCCAAGTTAAATGAGACTGCACAGTAAAATATTATGAGCATTCAGCTGCCATACACACACACACACACACACACACACACACACACACACACAACTTCTGTAAATATTCACTGGCACAAAATGACAACCAAATTAGAAAATAAAGAACAAGAAAAATGAAATAGAAATATATACTTTTATATTTTCTTCTCAATGCCTCTTATGCATTCACTTTGTAGGTCACTAGGCTAAAAAATTATATTGAAAAAATCATGTATAGTAATTTCAGTACTTAGCATCTCAGGCCTTAAGTAGCTACCTTGCAAATAAAGAAATAGCAAATAAAGAAATAACAACAAAAACCATTAGTAAGGGCTGGGAATGTGCTTAGTGGTAAAGTGCTTGCCTAGCATGCATGAAGCCCTAGGTTCAATTCTTCATTATCACATAAACAGAAAAAGCCAGAAGTGGCACTGTGGCTCAAGTGGTAGAGCGCTCACCTTGAGCTGAAGACTCAGAGACAGCACTCAGGCCCAGAGTTCAAGTCCCACAACCTAACTCCTCCCCCGCCCCCAAATTATGTCAAACACATCCTCTTATACTCTACTATAGTTATTTTAAAGTTAACATAAATCATTTATACAAATCTAGATGTCATTTCTTTAAGATGATATAAAACAAATATTTAAAACCAGAAATTACACAAAATATCTTTGAGATAAAAAGAACAGGATTTAAGAGCCATTATGACTGAATCTTGTTCTATTTTCTAGCAGGATTTCTTATTACCACCAAATAGGTATTGTTTTCAAGCTTTTTTCCAACCATGCCTCCTGTTTTCTTTCTGCTTCTGCTCCATGGTATTTTCTCAGGGTTCTCTCTCTTTTCCTTTCTTCTCTAAATTTTATCCATTATTTAAGGCCTATTTAAGAGTGATTCAGTCTCTCCTTTACCTATATGTCTCAAGCCAGAATTGGTCTCTCCCTCAGCTGTACTTTCACAGAACTTTATTTATACTTACTTCCTTTAAAGTATTGATTATAGTCTCTCTTTTGGCATGGCTGTCTCAACTGCAAACTTCTCGAGGGTAGTGATATTGTCTTCTTGGGTTTTTATATTCTCCATAGCAACTAGCACGTCTTTAACGTTGTAACTGCTCAATAAATATATACTGATTAACACGAATCCTCAGAAATGCATGTGAGCATTTTAATAGAAATACAAATGAAGTGATTTTCAAATGATTCTTTGTACAACGGTATACATTTTAAATACAGTATTCAGTAGGAGGCAAGAAAAGTGGAGGAAATATACTATGAAGTATATACATTAGGGAACTATCTAGCATTCAATTGGGATTATTTTCTAACCTAATCCAAAAAAACTTTAAACCTTGTGTGTGTATGAGGGTGGAGGGGGAGGGACTGGACAAAGAGGAATTTTGAGAAATTTACTAGTCACAAGTCCTACTTGGAAAAAAAAAAACAAATGACCAAATATATATATATATATAATAAAACCTAGCTTCCCCTATAAAATAATGATTTTTAAATTAGCTTTTTTTTTGTACATTAGGAAATCTAATTTTCCCGTTGCTTACCTGATGTTACTTCTGGATTACAGTTGGACTCAGGCTGCAGCTTGCGATCTATTTTAGGAAGACACCTGTTTCCACACCCCACCCCAGTCTTAGTAGGTGGAAAAACTTCTCAGCCACGGAGAGAGCACAAACTTCCTGATCCTTCGTTGCAGAGAGGGAATAACACATCAGCTTCCTTAGGATCACTAGGCAACCTACCTTGGTGTTTCTTCATCGGGCCAATCAGAAACCTCCAAGGTTCAGTCCAGCCTATCGGAGCTTAAGAGGGGAGGCTCTCCCCAGGCTATTGTGTTGCGATCCAGACAAACATCACCAAAAGGAGGCAGGTTTGGGTTCAACCTGACAGCTGGTCAGTCCAATGAAGAAATCTTGGTGGAACAGAGGAAAGAGGGCTATGCTCCCCACCCCCATTAAATCAGCCAATCAAAACATCCAGTGCGCTAAAACGGGCTGCCAATCGTGAAAGGTTTCCGTTGGGCAATTTCAGGAAAGCAGGTATGTTACTTGGATCAATACATATTGGGACAATTTTCAAGTTAAGTTTTTGGATCCAAGTAATAAATCTAATAAATAAACATTTAAAAACTGATTGTTTCTGTCAGCTAAACCCTGACTTGACTGTTCTTTTAAAACATTATGTCAGTTTGTGGATGTTATTTGGTTTACCAACAGACTGAGAGGTACGTGTCTTTCTTTTCTTTTTTTTGGTCTTTTCTTTTCTTTCTTTTTTTTGGGGGGGCTTGAACTCTGGGGCTGGGCGCTGTGCCTCAGCTCTTTGAGCTCAAGGCGAGCACGCTTCTACCACTTGAGTCACAGCGCCACTTCGGTTTTCTGGTGGCTAATTGGAGATAAGAGTCTCATAGACTTTCCTGCCAGGGCTGGCGATCCTCAGATCTCAGCCTCCTGAGTAGCTAGGATTAGTCTTGAGCCACCGCCGTCCAGCTTGATGGGTGCATTTCTATCATCATGCTCATATTAACATTCCTTAGGCTTGTTAATTTTTTTTTTTTGTTATTTTCAGGCAGGTTTTAAGACTTCTTTCCTAAAACCAAGGAAATGCTAAGGCTAGAAATGTGCCTTAACATTCTTAAGTTCTAGAAAGGGCTGGGAAGTTGGCTCAGTAGTAGAGTGTTTGTCTAGCATGCATGAGGCCCTGGTTTCGATTCCTCAGCACCACATAAACAGAAAAAGCCAGAAGTGGCACTGTGGCTCAAGTGGTAGAGTGCTAGCCTTGATCTGAAGAGCTGAGGGACAATGCCCCGGCCCAGAGTTCAAGTCCCACGACCAACCAAAAAATATTAAAAAGTTCTAGAAAGTGTTCTATTCTTGAAAATATTTTCTACTGAAATATTAAACAGTACTTCCTGCTCAATAGAAATTATAAACGAGGGCCAACATTCTGAACGTTTTATTTTTTATTGATAACATGCTAGTCTTTAAAATGTCGTCTTTTTAACCTGCAGTAAGAAATGTAAAAAAAAGTACCAATTCCTAAGTTATACATCATATATTGTCAATTAAAGAATTGAAGAACAACACAATGACAGCCAGTTAGATTATACAGTTTTTACATTAGTAAAAAATGAGTCTACAAAATTTTAATGCCAAAATAATTATTGTTTCACAAAATGATTTTAGAAGGCCTTAAAATCAATTAAGGAAAATGTCCACTAAAATTGAAGGTAGATCAATATTCCGTAGATAATGAACAGATTCATTTATATTTGTACTTTTGGTTCTCTTGAATTTATCTCAGGTAAGGTTCAGGATCACAATATAATAGCTATTTGATCAGTTCATTTTAGTGTATGAACTACTTAAAACTACAAATAAATTTTCAGAGTTCAGAAAATTCACTTAAAAATGGTAATATAGCGCCTTTTAAATTTAAATGTTGAGAAGAACTTTGCAAATGTTCAGAGGGAAATTTTATATATTTTCCTTTGGTTCACTAAACTTTCTTCGCTTTGGAACTGACTCTTGGCTAGAAGAATCAAAGTGATGGAAGGCCTGTAAGAAGAAAACAAATATTAAGATATTTTCCAGTTTACATGTCTTTAATCTTGTAGTTATTTTCATGGTGCTGGGGTTTCTTCTCTCTCTCTTTTTTTGGTCGGTCATGGGGCTTAAACTCTGGGCTTGGGCGCTGTCCTTGTGCTCTTCAAGGCTAGCGGTCTACTGCTTGAGCCACAGGGCCACTTCTTCTTCTTCTTTTTTTTGTCAGTCGTGGGGCCTGAACTCTGGGTCTGGGTGCTGTCCTCAGCTCTTCAGCTCAAAGCTAGCGCTCTACCTCTGGAGCCACAGCACCACTTCTGGCTTTCTGTGGTGCTGAGGAATCGAACCCAGGGCCTTATGCATGCAAGGCAAGCACTCTACCACTGAGCCACCTTCCTAGCTCCCCATAGGGCCACTTCTGATTTTCTAGTGGTTTACTGGAGATAAGAGTCTCACTGACTTTCTTGCTCAGGCTAGCTTTGAACCGCGATCCTTAGATCTCAGCCTCCTCAGTAGCTAGGATTACAGGCGTGAACCACCGGTGCCCAATCATTTCAACTAAGATAGGATGCTAGGCTTTAAAAATAGAAGTAGAATAAAAGGCGTGGGCTTATAGCTCAGTGGCAGGATACATGCAAGGTCCTGAGTTCCATATCCAGCACACTAACAGCAAAATCTCTTTAGATGGGAATATTGGCACATGCCTGTAATCCCAACATTTGGATAGCTGAGGTGGGAGGATCAGAATTGGAGGCTAGCCTAAGTTAGTTAGCAAGTTCTAGAAAACAAGGAAAGGCCTTATCTAAAAAAGCAAACCTAGGGGTTGGAAGTTCAGTTGATAGAGTGACAGCCAATGAGCAAAAGCTTTAGATACTGAGTTCAAGTCCCAGTCTCAGATCTTTAAAAAACAAAAAACAAACAAAAAAGTACCACCAAGAGAGACTCTTAGGAGAGGAACACAAAGGCAGATTGCCTATGTGCATCTGATCATACAAAATATTTGTTGAAATGAAAACAATAGGTTTTTTTCTTTGTTGCTTTTTTTTGTCTTGTTTATTCTTTTTTCTGTTTTGAGAGGGTAAGAGGAGACACAGAAATGGAGGAACAAGGGTGAACAAATGCAGCAGTGGTACTCACTGGACACTATGTTAGAAATGAACTATACAACTTGTGGGTAGGGAGGGGAGGGAAAAACTGGGAGAGATCAAGGGAAAGGGTGACATTGTCCAAAAATAAATATACTTTTTACCTTACTTATGTAACTGTAATCCCTCTGTACATCACCTTTATAACGACAAAAAATTGGGCTGGGCTGGAAAAGTGACTCAGTGGTAGAGTGCTTGCCTTGCACACATGAGGTCCTGGGTTCGATTCCTCAGCACCACATAAGCAGAAAAAGCCTGTAGTGGCACTGTGGCTCAAGTGGTAGAGTGTTAGCCTTGAGCTGAAGAGCTGAGGGACAGCACCCAGGCCCAGAGTTCGGGCCCCATGACTGACAGAATAATAATAATAATAGTAATAAAATTGGGGGAAAATAAGCCTGTTGAAATTTATTAACTGCATATGTACATTTTTTGATGGCTGCTGATATATAAGATCTTCATTAGAGTTGTTAGAGAAATGAGATGATGAGATTAAACATGTGTCCTTGAAATCAGTTAAAACATTTTAGAGGAATGAGAAGGGAAAACAGAATTTAATTACAAATAGAAAAACATTCTAGGGCTGGGAAGGTGGCTCAGTGGTAGAGTGCTTGCCTTGCATGCATGAAGCCCTGGGTTCAATTCCTCAGCACCACATAAGCAGAAAAACCCAGAAGTGGCTCAAAGTGGTAGAGTGCTAGCCTTGAGCTTAAGAGCTGACAGTGCCCAGGCCCAGAGTTCAGGCCTCATTATTGACAAAAAAAAAAAAAAAAAAATTCTACCTTGAGACCATCGAAGATTTAAATCATGCCTTTCTTTTGTATCCCTATACCAAAAGGTACATATATCTATATTATATATTTAATATATTATACAATAGTTATACATTAGATTAGTACATTTTGGATATATATGAAATATGTATGTGTGTGTATACACACATACAAACTGTGGGCTGGGGATAGAACCCAAACCTCTGTGCATAATAGTCAAACAATTCTACTGCTAAGCTAAACCCCTAGTGAACACTGAATAAATAGGAGGATGTATAAGGGAAATCCTAACAAGATTCTCTGAGTTATGGAACTTTGATTTTGTTGGGAAAAAAACTATGAATAATAAATTAGATTATGATTTTTCACAAAAAATCAACATAAAGTACCTAATATATAATGGAATGTACTTTCCATTCCCTGCTTAAGCTATTAAACTCTCTCTCTGTCTCTCTCTCTGTGTATATATTTTTTGTCTTGGGGCTTAAACTCAGGACCTCTGGGCACTGTCCCAGAGCTTTGTTGCTCAAGGCTAGTTAGTGCCCTACTACTCTGAGCCACAGCGCTACTTCCAGTTTTCTGGTGGTCAACTGGAGATAGGAGTCTCATGGACTTTCTTGCTTGGGCTGGCTTTGAACCACGATCCTCAGATCTCAGCCTCCTGAGTAGCTAGGTGTGACCTATCTATATTTTTGAGATTCTCCTAACTTTTGATTTTTCAAAATATTAAATTTTCAGTTTTTGAATTTTCTCTCTTCCTAGTGCAAAGAATGGAGCCCAGGGTTTTTTATGAATGCTAGATAAGGACTCTACAACATTTCTAGCCCTTCAATTGCCTTAAAAAAAAACCAAACAGATTAGGGTCTGGGAAGGTGGCTTGGTGGTAGAGCGCTTGAGGCCCTGGGTTCTATTCCTCAGCACCACATAAGCAAAAAGAAAAAAGCCGGAAGTGGCACTGTGGCTCAAGTGGTAGAGTGCTAGCCTTGAGCTGAAGAGCTGAGGGACAGCACCCAGGCCCAGAGTTCAGGCCCCACGACCGACCAAAAAAAAAAAAAAAAGAGTTAATAGATGCAGCAGTGGTATTCATTAGACACTATTTTGAAAATGAACTATTCAACTTGTGGGAGGGGACAGGAGAGAAAAAAACAGGAAAGAGCAAAAGAAGGGGTGACATGATTAATGACACTAAAATTTTTCATTGAAAAAAATGTATAAATGTATAAATATGTATAGCTGGGCACCAGTGGCTCACGCCTGTTATCTTAGCTACTCAGGAGGCTGAGATCTGAGGATAGTGGTTCAAAGCCAACTGGGGCAGGAAATTCATGAGATTCTTTTTTTTTTTTTTTTTTTTGGGTCTAGTCATGGGGCCTGAACTCTGGGCCTGGGTGCTGTCCCTCAGCTCTTCAGCTCAAGGCTAGCATTCTACCACTTGAGCCACAGTGCCACTTCTGGCTTTTTTCTTTTTGCTTATGTGGTGCTGAGGAATCAAACCCAGGGCCTCAGGCATGCAAGGCAAGCGCTCTACCACTAGCCACCTTCCCAGCCCCTCTATGAGATTCTTATCTCCAATTAACTACCAGAAAACCAGAAGTGCTTCTGTGGCTCAAGTGGTAGAGCTCTCCCCTTAAGCTGAAGAGCTGAGGGACAGTGCCTAGGCCCAGAGTTCAAGCCCCACAACCAACAACCAAAAAAAGCAGCTAAGAGACAGCACCCAGGCTCTGAGTTCAAAACCCAAGACCAGCACAAAAACTTAAAAAGAATACACACATATAATTTATGTTAGGAATTACATTCTCCAGAGATATTCTGAGAAAGTACTTTATTTTTAGGATATGCATATATAATTATGTATAATTATATATATACATATATATAGTCAACTTTTGTTTGTTTTAGTTTTGGTATCTACATAGCTCATATCAAATTTGTGGGCCAATTTTAGTTGCAAAATGTCCTAATATTCTTTTTTTTTTGGTCTTGGGGGCTAAACTCTGGGCCTGGGCATTGTCCCTCAACGCTTCAGCTCAAGGCTAGCACCCTACCACTGAAGCCACAGTGCCACTTCCAGCTTTTTTTTTTCTGCTTATGTGGTATTGCAGAATTGAACCCAATGCCTCAGGCATGTGAAGCAAGCACTCTACCAGTGAGCCAACTTCCCAGCCCTGCCCTAATGTTCTTATAATGTAATTTTTACATTCTACTCATACTTTTCCTAACATTCTTTTTTTTTTGGGGGGGGGGTCCGGTCATGGGGCCTGAACTCTGGGCCTGGGCGCTGTCCCTCAGCTCTTCAGCTCAAGACTAGTGCTCTACCACTTGAGCCACAGCGCCACTTCCGGCTTTTTTCTTTTTGTTTATGTGGTGCTGAGGATTCAAACCCAGGGCCTCATGCATGCAAGGCAAGCGCTCTACCACTGAGCCACCTTCCCAGCCCTTCCTAACATTCTTTACCTAATAAATTCCTCTACTAATTTCAGATCATTTATGGAAAAAATTAAGTGCTCATAGAATGAGATAATAGCCAACATATTGAATCTTGTTTCAAAATAATTTCATTTTAAAAAATACATTTGATCAAGATTTGTGTGTTAGAACTCTGAAGTGCATTCAGGTATATGATCAAATTTATTAATTTATAGTAATGACATTCTGATGCTTGCTGTTTTATTCAACCTATTGATTATCACAAGACTTACTGTTTGTGGGCTGGGAAGTTGGCTCAGTGGTAGAGCACTTGCCTTGCATGCCTGAGGCCCTGGGTTCGATTCCTCAGCAACACATAAGCAAAAAAGTAAAAAGCCGGAGGTGGCGCTGTGGCTCAAGTTGGTAGAGCACTAGCCTTGAGCTGAAGAGCTGAGGGACAGCGCCCAGGCCCAAAATTCAGGCCCCACGACCGGACCCAAAAAAAAAAATTTAAAAAAAAAAAAAAGACTTACTGTTTTCCTAGATTTAGGGTCACTTCTCTTCTGGTTTTCTTTACATTTTACTGGATGATTTCCATTTACCTTAACAAAGATAGACTAATTACTAACTGGTTATTGCTCAAAAAACATCTAACAGTTCATTTATGCAACTACATAGCTTTACTGAGATATAATATAGATAGTATGATTTACCTATTTAAAGTACATAACCAATAATGTTAAGTATACTCTGAATGCACAATTTATCATCACAGCCCATTAGTCATGTTTTGAACTTTTTTAATTTCAACTCGAGAATCAAGTGCATCTCATCACACCCCATTTTAGAACATTTTCATTATCCCAAAAAGAAACCCTATATTCCTTCACTGTTACTCTTTTATTCCCCTATCTTCCCACTAGTCTTAAAGGTTAAAGCTTTTTGTCTCAATTGCTTCCAATTCTTTCACACGAATCACATGATATGTATATGTTTGTGACGTGTGTGTGTATGTGTGTGTGTGTGTGTGTGTGTGTGTGTGCCTTTGTGTGGTACTAGGGCTTTAATCCAGGCCCTGTGCACTATTTCTTAGTTTGTCAAAGCTGGCACTCTACCACTTGAGACATAGCTCCACTTCTGGCTTTTAGCTGGTTAACTGGTTCTCACAGACTATCCTGCCTGAGCTAGCTTCGAAGTTAGATCCTCAGATCTCAGCCTCCTGAGTAGTTAGGATTATAGGTGTGAGCCACCACTGGCTGTCTTCTTTCCATTTGCATAATATTCAAGGTTCATTCAAGTTGTTGCATGTATTGACATTTTATTCTTTTTTGTGGCTCAATAAATATTCCACTGAATAGATGTGCCACAGTTTGTTTATCCATTCACCTGTTTATTGACATTTAGATTTTTTTCTACCTTTTAGCTATTGTGACTAATTCTGTATATGTAGCTATTAAAATGAAAATTGGAAGATAACAAATTATTAACTGTCATATTATTAATCTCTAATTAACATGCTTCTTTTTTCTATTATTTAAGATAAACAAGATTCTTTCTCTCTCTTATGCCAGTAACGGGCTTGAACTCAAGGCTTGGGCACTGTCTCTAAACTTTTTCACTCAAGGCAAGTGCTCTACCACTTGAGCCACATTTCTAGCTTTTCTGGGGGAGTTTACTGGAGATGATAGTCTCATGGACTTTCCTTCCTGGGCTGGCTTTGAACTGCCATCCTTGAATCTCAGCCTCCCAAGTAGCTAGGATTACAGGAAGGTGTGAGCTACTAGCTCCTGGCTGAATTCTGGTTTTTATTAGTTCTAACTTCCTACTGAGTACAGGGAAAGAAAAAGACTCCTAAAAAAGACACTATAATCAGTGGTAAATGTTTTATAGTCAGTTCTGTGATTTAGACAAACCCTGAAGCATTCGTTGATTTCCATGAGGTAAATGTTGAATTTCAAGTACTCAACATGATGTCACTGAATGAAGAATTGGAAGACATGTTCTGGGATACCACTGATAGAGTAATCTGTTTCCTAACTTCAAATATAATACTTTATATTTTATTCTGTTTATTCTGTACCCCTATCCTTTGCAATTAAAAGTCTAAAATCAAATGTGAATTTTTCTCATATATTAAATTCTATTTAGTATAATTCAAAAATTAAAGTAAATGAGCTTGTTTTGACTTGGAACATAATCCATTTTATATAAGATATATAAAAATTAAACTTTAATATGTTACTACCAAGATAATTTATAAAAAGAAACATGGGAACATTCTAGGATTCTAGAATTCTCTTGGAAGTAAGGCTAAAATCACTTCTTAAAGCTTTCCTTGGATTCTTCTTTCTAATGTACAGTCAGTAAAATTAAAGTTTGCTTCCTTTGTGCCTCTATTCAGACTTCTACATTAGCTTTCTATCATTGCCTGTTTGCCTTTAGTTACCAATCTTTCTCCTAAGATCAAGAACTATAGGCTGAGCCGGGCGCTGGTGGCTCACGCCTGTAATCCTAGCTACTCAGGAGGCTGAGATCTGAGGATCGCGGTTCAAAGCCAGCCCGGGCAGGAGAGACCGTGAGACTCCTATCTCCAATAAACCACCAGAAAACCGGAAGTGGCGCTGTAGCTCAAGTGGTAGAGCGCTCGCCTTGAGCTGAAGAGCTGAGGGACAGCGCCCAGGCCCAGAGTTCAAGCCCCATGACCGACAAAAAAAAAAAAAAAAAGAACTATAGGCTGTTAACTAGGTTCCATCCTCAGTGCCTAGAAAAGTACCTGACACATAATGTGCTTTCATCTAATGCTGGTCCAATAAATGAAATGGCAAAATAAATTCATGTATAGGAGATGAATTACACAATCAGAAAAGAATTTACAATTTTAAAGTTTTTACCATTTTATTATGAAAGATCCTTCCACTCCTCGTTTTACTTTCAGATACATCAAGTTCAGATGTTTTAGTGACTAAGTGCTCAACCTAGAAAAGAAATAAATTACATAAACTATGAAACATAGTGCAACTCATAACATAATGAAGTCCAAAAATTCAAGCACACAATGATCAGCATTTTGTCATATTACATTAATAAAACCAGTAATTTTAGTTGGTTCATACTGTCACAAAAAGAACAAAATTTAGTGATACTGACAATTTATACTCAACACTGTATACTGAACACTGAACCAAAAAAGCCCCAAGTGATTACTAGGTACTACCTTTCCAGATGATAGGACTTTTAGCTCACTCCCATTTGAGAAAGAGTTAAGGCAGAGGAAAGTAGACCTCAATGATCAATCCCATTATTTCTAAGTTTGTATTGTTTAAATTTTCTATTTCAAAAATTTACTATTTTGTAAGTTGAAAACAAAATTAAACATGATCTGCTCCATTGCTACAAATATGTGCTTTATACAACAAAGCAGAGTGGACTAAATAATTGCTTAAGATTCTGCCTAGCTATAAGATTCTGAGATTCTATTTGGGATTTATTACTAAACAAATTCACAATAAATATAAAAACTTTTTCAACATATAATGTCTTTGTTAATAATAAACATCTAAATATTTAATATTCTCCTAAAAGACATAGAATAAGAAAAGATAAGAATAACTAAGCATATAAGCAATCTTTTTTTTTTGCCAGCCCTGGGCCTGAACTCAGAGCCTGGGTACTGTCCCTGAACTTCTTTTGCTCAAGGATGGCACTCTACCACTTGAGCCACAACACCAATTCTGGCATTTTCTGTTTATATGGTACTGAGGAATCAAACCCAGGGTTTCATGCATGCTAGGCAAACACTCTACAACTAAGCCACATCCCCAGCCAGCAATCTTTTTTCCCCCTGGAGCCGCATCACCACTTCCAGTTTTCTGGTAGTTTATTGGAGATAAGAGTCTCCCAGAGCTGGGTGCTGGTGCCTCACACCTGTAATTCTAGCTATTCAGGTGGCTGAGATCTGAGGATCTTTTTTCATAGCCAGCCTGGTCACGAAAAGTCCATGAGACTTTTATTTCCAATAAACCAGCAGAAAACCAGAAATAGAGCTGTGGCTCAAGTAGTAGAGCTCTAGCCTTTAGCTGAAGCACTGAGGGACAGTGCCCAGGCCCAGAGTTCAAGCCCCATGACTGAAAAAAAAAAAAGTTTCACGCACTTTCCTGCCCCAGCTGGCTTTGAACTGTGATCCTGAGATCTCAGTCTCTTGAGTAGCGAAAAGATTACAGTCTCCAGCAGTCATCTTTAAAAATAACAACAGCTGGGCACCGGTGGCTCATGCCTGTGCTACTCAGAAGGCTGAGATCTTAGGTTCACGGTTCAAAGCCAGCCAGGGCAGGAAAGTTCAAAGATTCTTATCTCCAATAAACCACCAGAAAACTGGAAGTGGTGATGTGGTTCAGGTGGTAGAGCACTAGCCTTGAGCTGAAGAGTGCAGGAACAGCACCCAGGTCCAGAGTTCAAGCCCCATGACCGACAAAAATTAATAAAAATAAAAACTAAAAATAACAACAAAAGCAAGTAAAAAGTTAGAGGCCATGCACTGCTGGTTCATGCCTGTAATTCTTGTTACTTAAAACACATAGAATGGGAGGATTGTGGTTTCAGGGCAACACAGGCCAAAAAGTCCAAGAGACTCCTCAACAGAAGCAGCTGTGGGTGTGATGACATATAGTTGTTACCCTAGCTATGATAACAAACTAAAAATTGGAAATCATGAACCAGGTGCTTGCCCCGGCAGGAAACATTAAAAATAAGCGGTGCAGAAAATGGCTAAAGAGTCAGTGGTGGAGTCCTGACTAGAAAGTATGAGGCTGAGTTCAAACCCAAGCATAGTGGGAAATGAGAAATTGGAAATTTTAGACTTCCTTTCTTTTTTTTTTTGTTGGTTGTGGGTTTGAACTCTGGGCCTGGGCATTGTTCCTCAGCTCTTCAGCTCAAGGTGAGCTCTCTACCACTTGGGCCACAGCGCCACGTCCAATTTTCTGGTGGTTAATTGGAGATAAGAGTCTCTTGGGCTTTCCTGCCAGGGCTGGCTTTGAATCATGATCCTCAGATCTCAGTCTCCTGAGTAGCTATGATTATAGGCGTGAGCCACAAGTGGCTGGCTAATTTTAGACTTTCTTTACACTTCATAATTTCATCTTTATTACAAATTTGGTTCTGAAAATTTTTTTAAAGTTAAAATGGTATGAAACTGAATTGGTAGTTTAATCTATATTTTTAACTTATTACCTCCAACTCCAGAAACTCCATAGGTTTTTTTTTCTGCTTTTCCATTTTAGTTTCAAAGTCAAAATCATCCTACGCAATTATGTGAAGAAAAAAATGGGTATATTTCAAAAAGAAATGAAAACAATTGTGTAGAAGTGTTTATGAACAAGTTCATTTTATGTAAAGGATAACTATAAAACTACAACTACCTTGTGCTTGCTAAAATAAAATGGTCTTTGAATTCCTATCACAAGAAAATTATTATTTTATTTTATTTTTATTTTTTGACAGTTGTGGGGGCTGAACTCTAGGCCTGGGCACTGTCCCTTAGCAATTCAGCTGAAGACTAGCACCCTACCACTTAAGCCACAGCGCCACTTCTGGCTTTTTTCTGCTTATGTGGTGCTGAGGAATCAAACCCAGGGCCTCATGCATGTAAGGCAACCACTCTACCACTGAGCCAAATTCCCAGCCCGAAAATTTATTTTTTTGAGACAAGGTCTTGCTTTATTGCCAAGGCTGGTCTGGAACTCATGACCTTCCTGCCTACACCTGGAATTATGGCTATGTATCACTATGTCTGGCTCAAGGCAACTTATTTATCCAAACAAAATACGTTATTTCTTTTTACTTTATTTTCATTTTATTTACCATTTTATGTCTATCATTTATACACAACAATAATTTATGAATGATAGAAATATACAACTTTCTCAAAAATGCATGATGGTTCTAGAAATACATTTTACTATTGTCTGACGGCATTGAATCTGACATATTCATAAATCAAGCTACCACATCTATAGATCTGTAATTTCTATACAAGTGTTAGTATATACTCCGAATATACTTAGCCTCCTCTTCAAGAAGTCCATGACAAGCTTAGTTACTGAATTTATAGGTAGCAACAAGTTAAAAAGTCTAAGTTATAATTATTGTACAATTTGTGAAAGATGGGAAAGAAATTCAAAAATTTTTAAAATACAAGATCCCTGGGGGATGGAAATGTGGCTCAGTTGTAGAGTGCTTGCCTTGCATGCATGAGGCCCTGGGTTTGATTTCTCAGCACCACATAAGCAGAAAAAGCCACAAGTGTGGTTATGGCTCAAGTGGTAGAGTGTTAGCCTAGAGCTGAGGTGCACCGCCCAGATCCAGAGTTCAGGCCCCACGACTGACAAATAAAAATAAAAATAAAAATACATACATATATATATTACAAGATCCCAGCCATATTCGTTTATATAGCCAGATTAGGATGTAAGTTTTAGGAAAACAATTTGATTGAATTGGTTGAAAACTGAATTTTCTTGCTTGATAAGAAATGTACTCATTTCCTTGCTCATGTAATTGTAACCCCTCTGTACCGTATTTTCACAATTAAAAAAACGTATTAATAAAAAAAAAAAAAGAAAAAGAAAACTGGGGGCTGGGAAGGTGGCTCAGTGGTAAAGCGCTTGCCTTGCATGCCTGAGGCCCTGGGTTTGATTCCTCAACAACACATAAGCAAAAAGAAAAAAGCCGGAAGTGGCGCTGTGGCTCAAGTGGTATAGCGCTAGCCTTGAGCTGAAGAGCTGAGGGACAGCGCCCAGGCCCACAGTACAGGCCCCACGACCGGACCCCCCCAAAAAAAGAAAACTGAATTCTCTATCTTAAAAGATAAGGCCAAGTTTAGAACAGTGAGTTGGGCTGGGAATGTGGCTTGCTTACTTTGCATGAAGCCCTGGGTTTGATTCCCAGTACCACATAAACAGAAAAGGCCGGAAGTGATACTGTGGCTCAAGTGGTAGAGTGCTAGCCTTGAGCAAAAGAAGCTCAGGGACAGTGTCCAGGCCCTAAGTTCAAGCTCCAAGACTGGCAAAAAAACCAATGAAAACCCAAAACAACAACAAAAACAAATGTAAGCCTCTGCCATAAGTACAATGGCTATGACTTAGAATAAGACAAGAAAAGAAGTGACATTAAAGGACAATATTGGAAGGTTAAAGCAACAATAGTATTCATATTTTCTGGGAATAAGGCAACTAAAAATCTCATTCAATTAATATTGAGGATGCAATCTAAATTTAAGTGCTAGACATAGTAAGACTATAAGACAATACTTTTTACCTTCTAGGAACTTCCAATCTACTTTAGGAAGATAAGTTTCTAGGTCTTGGAGAAATTAAGCATAGTTTATGAATGTTTTGCACTGGACTAGTATAACAATTTTCAAATTATGCCCTAGATTTCTAGGGATTTCCTCAGAGTCCACTATGAAGGTAGGTAAAGTTGGTAACTGGCTGGGCCTGTAGCACAACTTCTTGCTTCAATTATAATAGTTGTGTTTTTAAGTTCTGAGTATAAGGTTTGAACTAAGGTAAAAACTTTCTTTTTTTTTTTTTTTTTTTACAGTAGTGGGACTTGAACTCTGGGCCTCAGCGCTGTCCCTCAGCTCTTCAGCTCAAGACTAGCGCTCTACCACTTGAGCCACAGCACCACTTCTGGCTTTTTTCTTTTTGCTTATATGGTGCTGAGGAATTGAACCCAGGATCTCAGGCTTGCAAGGCAAGCGCTCTACCACTGAGCCACCTTCCCAGCCCCACATGTTCTTTTTGTTTTTGTTTTTTGGGGGGGGGTGGGGGTCCAGTTGTGGGGCCTGAACTCTGGGTCTGGGCACTGTGCCTCAGCTCTTCAGCTCAAGGCTAGCGCTCTACCACTTGAGCCACAGCACCACTTCTGGCTTTTTTCTTTTTTGCTTATGTGGTGTTGAGGAATCGAACTCAGGGCCTCACGCATGCAAGGCAAGTGCTCTACCACTGAGCCACCTTCCCAGCCCCTGGTAAAAACTTTCTTTAAGGTCTTTTCCAACCATAAATTTTGAGTTTTGTGTTTGTCGTGGCCTGCTGCTGTCCCTGCGCTAAAATTTTTAGCTCAAGGCTAGTGCTCTACCATTTTTTAGGTGGTTAATTGGAGATAGGAGTCTCAGGATTTTCCTGCCTAGGCTGGCTTTAAACCGCAATCCTCAAATTTCAGCCTTCTCAGTAGCTAGGCACAAGGCCCAGCCAATCTTAAGTTACAATATAATATATCTCTGAATATTAATTCTTTGTAAATAAATCAAACATTTTTGTAACTCTTTAGATATACTCACACTTAAGTAATTTTCATCTTCGACATCATCTTTGTCCATCAGGATTTTTCGAAGTGGTGTTTTTAATTGTTTTGGTAATAGTATAGTTGAATCAATATTTTCCATTCGTTCTCTCTCAGTGGTCACTTTTACTTTGAAGGTGTGAAAAGGTGTTGGGACTTCTCCAACATTTAAATACATAGGATCCCCTTCAAATGTTACCCCGTCACAATCACCATCTTTAAAGCCAGGTGGCTGGTAATCTGGAGGTGTAACTACAAAAAAATAAGTTTAAACCATAATGTTCACAGAACTGATGAAACTATATTACCTTATATAAAAACATATGCAGAAGCCAGGCGCTGATGGCTCACGCCTGTAATTCTAGCTACTCAGGAGGCTGAGATCTGAGGATCGTGGTTCAAAGCCAGCCCGGGCAGGAATATTGGTGAGACTTATCTCCATTTAACCACCAGAAACCCAAAGTGGCATTGGCTCAAGTGGTAGAACTCTCACTTTGTGCTGAGGAGCTCAAGGACAGCACTTAGGCCCAGAGTTCAAGCCCAGGAACAACAACAAAAAATCAAAACCAAAACCAAAACCAAAACAAACAGACAAAAAAAATCACATGCAGGTAAGTTTCAAATAGCACAGAGGGCACAAATAGAAATCCAACATTACTCTTTTCCTATCACCAAGTCCTCATTTTATTCCCTAAAAGTTAATTCATTTTTCTGACTGGCTGTGTGGTCTGGAACAAATTATCTTTGGTTTGATTTCTTCCTTGGTTAAATGGAAAAATAATAGTACCTGCCCTTCTAGGGTCACTATGGCTATAAAATGAATTAAAGCATTGTAAAACATTCCGAAGAGAACTGGCAACAAATATACAAGAGAATATTTGATAAATTTAAATTGGTATTGTCTTTGCTTTATGTTCTTGAAGGCAATATATTATATATAATAAAAATATAACGTTTCTTACATAGGGTTTTAGGAAATATATATGTCCTTAGAAACAGAAATGTGATCATACTATTATGTATCTAGCTGTTCTTCATGTAATACAATTTATTTATTTTTTTCTATTTTATGCTGGTCCTGGGCTTGAACTCAGGGCCGGGGCCCTATCCCTGAACTTTTCTTTTCTTTTGGGTCTGGTCATGGGGCCTGAACTTTGGGCCTGGGTGCTGTCCCTCAGCTCTTCAGCTCAAGGCTAGCGCTCTACCACTTGGGCCATAGCGCCACTTCCGGCTTTTTTTCTTTTTTGCTTATGTGGTGCTGAGGAATCAAACCCGGGGCCTCATGCATGCCAAGGCAAGCGCTCTACCACTGAGCCACCTTCCCAGCCCCTCCCTGAACTTTTTTATTCAAGGCTAGTGCTCTACCACTTAAGGCACAGCTCCACTTCCAGCTTTTTTTTTTTTTTTTTGGCAGTTAATTGGAGATAAGAGTTTCATAGACATTTCTGCCTGAGCTAGTTTAGAACCGCAGATCTCATCCTCCTGAATAGCTGTGATCACAGGCATGAGCCACTGGCACCCAGCTATGTGCCACACTTTTTTTTGGGGGTCTGGTCGTGGGGCCTGAACTCTGGGCCAGGGTGCTGTCCCTCAGCTCTTCAGCTCAAGGCTAGTGCTCTACCACTTGAGCCACAGCGCCACTTCCGGCTTTTTTTCTTTCTGCTTATGTGGTGCTGAGGAATTGAACCCAGGGCCTCATGCATGCAAGGCAAGTGCTCTGCCACTGAGCCACCTTCCCAGCCCCTGTGCCACACTTTATTTACTCAATTTCCAAAGAACAACTGTTTGTTCCTATTTTGGCAAAGTTATAACAAAAATATTTATAAATATGTAATCTTGCATAATTTTGCAGATATAGATTAAAAATATTTTTCTAGTTATAGATATTTTGTATTAAAATTAAACTTTTGATATTGCCAAATGATCCTCTAAAACTGTTTCTACATTTCCTCAAAAATGCTTTTTCCTGGGGCTGGGAAGGTGGCTCAGTGGTAGAGTGCTTGCCTTGCATGCCTTGAGCTGAAGAGTGCCCAGGCCCAGAGTTCAGGCCCTACGACTGGATCCAAAAAAAACAAAACAAAACAAAATGCTTTTTCCTATTTTTTCCAATAATAGGTTTTCAAGTTTTACCAATCTAGTAAGTAAAACAGTGTCTCATTGTTTCATTTCTTTATCAGTAGAATTACGTTTCACATGGATATGTCCCTATCACTAGAGAAGTGTACATTTTAACGTCTATTTTTTTCAAGTCTTTCTTTTGCAAATTCTTTGTTCAAAAATATATTAATAGTGTAGGTGCTATAAACATCCAGAATGGAAATTAATTATTTCAATAATAATAATAAATTCAAATTCCAAAAAAACCCCACAACATATTGCAAATAGTACCTTCATCGTAGTAAAAAAGTTTCATGGTCAAACAAACATCATTAGGTAAAGGTCCCAGATTTTGCATTAGAATATAAATCTTGCGAATGAGGAGAATACTTGCTTTCTTGGTGTCAGCAGATGACATGTTAGATTCATTTTGATTTTTACTAGAAAATAATCAGATATTAATTTTTTTCATAAAACTGGTGCTACCAATATCATAACTTCACATTTTAACTATTTGAAATTCTTGCTTTTATTATATCAAAGTTATTGACAGTTACCATAAAGTCGATTTCAAGGTCGCTATTATAAAATGTATTATCACTATATCCAAATATTAATTTGGATAATACACATTTTATTTATATTTAATTTCTGTGTTTGAAAGAGAGTCTCATCAACTTTGCCTGGGCTGGCTTTGAATTCAGTCTTCCTATATTTGCCTCCCAAGTAGCTGGATTGAAGGTATGAGCCACCGTGCTCAAAGTTAGTATTCTATTTCACTTGAGATACAATTCCACTTCCTGCTTTTTTGGTAGCTAATTGGAGATAAGAATCTCCTGGGCTTTCCTTCCTAAGCTGGCTTTGAACCATGATCCTCAGATCTCAACATCCTGAGTAGCTTGGATTATAGGCATAAGCCATAATAATTAAACATTTTATGTTTTAATGAAGTATTTAAAGGAAATAAATGATGGATTTTAATCATACTTCTAATCATGCAAATCCTTTCTCAAATAGTATATAATGAGTCACACAATCTTGTAATGCAGCTATTCAAGGTACTGTTCTATTTGATATAGCCATATCTTGAACGTTAACTGGGGATTTGAGAAGGTTTAGAATTAATCCTGGGGCTGGGATAAGGCTTAAGTGGTAAAACACTTGCCTAGCAAGTAAGAAGCCCTGAGTTCAAGACCCAATATAATAAATCAGTGAATGAATGATGCTTTCCAGAATTAATCCTGAAGTTTAGCTAGTAAATGTTAATGAATAGGTGGTATTATTAATATAAAATGATACTATAGAACAATACCTTGTAAAGTCCATGACTGGTCCACTTTTGGTGTACTTGAACTTAAATTGGTAGCATTCTGAAATTGTCTAAAATAGAAAACATTGGACTCAGGTAAATTTTGGTTATATAAAACAGCAATATGCTACTTGTATATAACTCTTAACATTTAGTCAATAGTTTGTTCTTACATGCTAATCCCTATTGGTCCACTAAGGTTTTCAATTCCTGAGAGTCAATTCTAATGGTCTGGGTTTTGGGGCCTCAGTCTTAGAGGTATATCTATTCCATTATTATTATTATTATTGTTTACAGTTTATGAATAATAAGTGTTAGGAACTCTTTAGAAGGAAACAGTAAAGGGAGAAACAATATCTCGACAGAATAGTTAAGTGCTTTAGTTTGAATGTGTCACCGAAAGTTCATTTGTTGCAAATTTACTCCCCAGCATATCAGTGTTACAGTTTGGGATCTTTAAGAGGCAATTAGAGCTGGACATGATGGCACACCTTGTATTCCCAGTTACTGAATACTTTATAAAATTCCTGATACAGTAAACATTCACCATATTATTAACAGTAGTGCATCAATAAGATTGTTCATTTATTGGTAGAAGAAAATGTACAACTATACTATTTTCTTTACAATTAACTTATTCATAACCTTTGCACAAATAACCTGTTTTGTCACTAAGGGCATACATTAAGAATTAATTACAGCATGAATATCAAAGATTAAAAACAATCCTAGCCATTCCAAAGCTGGGAATAGTTTGCTTTCTTTGCTTGTCCTGTTCATATAAGGATGGGGGAGGGGATCTGCTGTGTTTTAAATCAATTTAATCTCCTTATCCACAACTGAATAAAACATTACATATTAACACATGTATTATAATGATTAAGCAACCAGATGATGAGATAACCTTCCTAGATTCAAATTCTGGTTCTGTCTCTTCTATCACATAACCTTGGGTAAGAAACCTTGTATTGGCCTGGTGCCACCTGTGGCTCATGCTTCTAATCCTAGCTGCTCAGTAGGTTGAGATCTGAGAATTGCAGTTCAAAGCCACCCTTGGGCAGAAAAGTCCATGGAACTCAGAATAAGCTACTCAGAAAAAGCCTGAAGTAACACTGTGGCTCAAGTGGTAGAGAGCTAGCCTTAAGCACAAAGAGGCTCAGAGATGGTGCCGAGGCCTTGACTTCAAGCCCCAGGACAATAAATAAATAAAACCTTGAATCATAGTGGCTCACGACTGTCATCCTAGCTACTCAGGAGTTATGAGAATCAAGGTTCAAAGCCAGCCCAGGCAGAAACTCTGTGAGGCTTCCTCCAATTAACTAACAAAAAGCAGGAAGTGGACTTGTGGCTCAAGTGGTAGAGCTCTAGCTTTGAGTGAAAAAGCTCAGAGACAGTGCCTAGGCCCTGAGTTTGAGATACAGAACTGGCACCAAAAAAAGAAAACTTGTATCTAGGTTTGTAAGGTAGAGATGCTAATGGTAATTATGTCATGAAGGTTATAATGAATAAATGAGAAAAAAATGTTCAAAAAGCCCAAAGCCTAATATAATAAACACTTAAGAAACTTCTCCCCCTGTTTCTTGTCTTCTAGTTTTCCATTTAATTTCTTGTTCTTTTCTTTCCCTTGATTGTCAGATGAACATGTGGGTGTGATTGAACTGTAGCATCTATTCCCAAGTGATTTAGGTTATTTCTAAAAGTTTATAAGCTTTGTAGGATAGGACCAGTCACATCATCTCCTGTAGTAAGCATGTTTCTTTTTTTTTCTTGGGGGGGGGGGAGGGGTCCGGTCATGGGGCCTGAACTCTGGGCCTGGGCGCTGTCCCTTAGCTCTTCAGCTCAAGGCTAGCGCTCTACCACTTGAGCCACAACGCCACTTCCGGCTTTTTTCTTTTTGCTTATGTGGTGCTGAGGAATCAAACCCAGGGCCTCAGGCATGCAAGGCAAGCGCTCTACCACTGAGCCACCTTTCCAGCCCCGCATGTTTCTTTTTAAATATAACAATACAAGCTTAGAAGCATTATATAAGATTTAAACATAAATATATACAAGACTTAAACATATATATTAAATATTAAAATAATATATATTTAGATATTGGAATTATAATGTTTATTTACCCAAGCATGCTTACCTGAGGGTCTTCTGGATTGGTGTATACCTATTAAAATAATTTAAATTGAGTTTAAGTATTCAAAAAGAAATAAATTGCATATTTAAAATGTTAAGTGAACACAGCAAAGCAAAACAAAAAATAAAATGACTACCCAATATTAATGTTTTTCCCATTGAATAGACTAGTGGTTTGAAAAGGTGATAACTGATAGTTTCAATGTCATTTAATGAAGAAAGGGAAAACTAAAATACAACATTAAGATACTTACAGCTAGAATGACCATCCTTAGCTGAAAAACAACAAAGAACAAACATCTTACTTGTATAAAATAGATTTCACCAGGCGCTGGTGGCTCATACCTGTAATTCTAGCTACTCAGGAGGCTGAGATCTGAGCATCGTGGTTCAAAGCCAGCCCGGGCTGGTGCATCTATAAGACTCTTATCTCCAGTTAACCACCAGAAACCCAAAATGGCGCTGTGGCTCAAGTGATAGAGTGCTTGCCTTGAGCTGAAGAGCTGAGGGACCGTGCCCAGGCCCAGAGTTCAAGCCCCATGACCAACAACAACAAAAGTTTTCATAGTAAAGCATAAAACTTACTTTGTAGCCTGGCCAGTGGCTCATACCTGTCACCCTAGCTACTCAGGAGCCGAGCTCTGAGGATTGTGGTTCAAAGTCAGCCTGGGAAGGAAACTCCATGAGACTTTTTTTTTGGGAGGGTCCGGTCGTGGGTCCTGAACTCTGGGCCTGGGTGCTGTCCCTCAGCTCTTCAGCTCAAGGCTAGTACGCTACCACTTGAGCCAAGGCGCCACTTCTGGCTTTTTTCTTTTTGCTTCTGTGGTGCTGAGGAATCGAACCTAGGGCCTCATGCATGCAAGGCAAGCACTCTACCACTGAGCCACCTTCCCAGCCCCTCCATGAGACTCTGATCTCCAATTAACCACAAGAAAACTGGAAGTGACACTGTGGGTCACGTGGTAGAGCACTCTCCTAGAGCTGAAGAGCTCAGGCCCCAGAATTCAAGCCCCTTAACTGGCAAACAATCCCCACAAAACACAAAACAAAAAAACCACCTTATTTTGTACTATTTCTTCGACTAGGTGTGTAGCTCACTAGTAGAATACATGCTGAGCATGTACCTGGATTCCATCACCAGCATCAAAAATAAATAAGTGGGGGCTGGGAATGTGGCTTAGTGGTAGAGTACACGTAGTCCTGGGTTCAATCCCTTGAGCAAAAGAAGTTCAAACAGTGGCCAGGCTCTGAATTCAAAACCACAGGACTGGGAAATAAATAAATAAGTGTTCTTTCTCAACATTTTTTTTTTTTTTTTTTTGGGTCCGGTCGTGGGGCCTGAACTCTGGGCCTGGGCGCTGTCCCTCAGCTTTTCAGCTCAAGGCTAGCACTCTACCATTAGAGCCACAGTGCCACTTCCGGCTTTTTTCTTTTTGCTTATGTGGTGCTGAGGAATCGAACTCAGGGCCTCATGCATGCAAGGCAAGTGCTATACCACTGAGCCATCTTCCCAGCCCTCTCAACATTTTTTCATGCATTTTTACTGTTATTATAAAAGTGATTTACAGAGGGGTAACAATTACATAAGTCAGATAAAGAGTACATTTCTTTCTTTCTTTCTTTTTTTGTTGATCTTGGGGCTTGAACTCTGGGCTTGGATGCTGTCCTTGCACTTTTCAGCTCAATGCGAATGCTCTACCGCTTGAGTCACAGCACCACTTCCCGTTTTCTGGTGGTTAATTGGAGATAAGAGTCTCACAGACTTTCCTGCCCAGGCTGGATTTGAACCTTGATCTCAGACTCCTCAGTAGCTAGGATTACAGGCGTGAGCCACCGGCCCCTGGCTCTGTTCACTCTTTATCCCACCATTTTCAACACTTTTTTTTTTTTTGGGGTCCAGTCATGGGGCCTGAACTCTGGGCCTGGGTGCTGTCCCTCAGCTCTCCAGCTCAAGACTAGCGCTCTACCACTTGAGCCACAGCGCAACCTCCGGCTTTTTTTCTTTTTGCTTATGTGTTGCTGGGGAATCGAACCCAGGGCCTCATGCATGCAAGGCAAGCGCTCTACCACTGAGCCACCTTCCCAGCCCTCAACACTTATTTTTTTATTCCTGGTTCTGGGGCTTCAACTCAGGACTTGGAATTTTCTTAGTTTGCCTGACTGGTGTTTTACTACTTGAGCCATGCCTCTAGTTCTGCTTTTTTTTTAAATTTATTTTTAGATAGAGTCTCTTGGACTTTTCTGCACAGGCTGGCTTCATATAGTGATTCTCCAGATCTTAGACTCTTTTTTTTTTTTTTGTCGGTCATGGGGCTTGAACTCTGGGCCTGGGTGCTGTCCCTGCGTTCTTCAGCTCAAGGTAAGTGCGCTACCACTTGAACCACAGCACCACTTCTGGTTTTTCTAGTGGTTTATTGGAGATGAGTCTCAGGGACTTTCCTGCCCTTGCTGTCTTTGTACTGTGATCCTCAGGTCTCAGCCCCCTGAGTAGCTAGGCTTACGAGTGTGAGCCACCAGCGCCCGGCTTAGACTCTCGAGTGCTCTACTACTTGAGCCACAGTGCCACTTCCTGTTTTCTGGTGCCTGGGCTGGCTTTGAACCGTGATCCTCAGATCTGAGTTTCCTCAGTAGCTCAGATTACAGGTGTGAATCATCAGAGCCTGACTCAATATTTATTCTTTTTTTTTTTCAACATTTTTTCTTAATGATTATTGTAGGAGACTATATCATGCCTCTAAGGGTATATTTTATATATGTTTCCTATTCTCCAAATACCTATTTCTACTTAGCTTATTGGTGGGTGAAATTTATGTTAGCATTTTATTTCACTGATTTAAATGAACGGGACATTACTACAAATTACAAGAAAAATAATTATTGTGAAATAACTAACATGAGTATGGGATTTGAAAAGAAAAAATTAGAAAGCTCAAGGACTTATTCATTAGTAAAGGAAAGAGACTGTGGAGGTTATTGGAACAGAAAATTGTTCACTTAAATGATTTGCCAAAAATCTAGTCATCTTTGACTCTGATACTTTCCTTCTACTTCACAAGCAATCCATCAACAAATGTAAGATCTAGTGTCAAATATGTCTTGAATCTCCTCCTTTGTCATCATCATGTCTAAGCTAGCACCATTTCTTTTTTTTTTTTTTTTTTGGTCTGGTCGTGGGCCTGAACTCTGGGCCTGGGCGCTGTCCCTCAGCTCTTCAGCTAAGGCTAGTGCTCTACCACTTGGGCCACAGTGCCACTTCCGGCTTTTTTCTTTTTGCTTATGTGGTGCTGAGGAATCGAACCCAGGGCCTCATGCATGCAAGGCAAGCACTCTACCACTGAGCCACCTTCCCAGCCCACTGGCACCATTTCTTGCCAATTCTATAGTAATTGCCTGAGTAATTGCCTCTTATTCCCAATCTTACTCTCTTTCTATACTATAAAGAGAAGAGGGATTAAATTTTTTAAATGCTGTTATAGTTCTACCTAAAAGTTTCAAAGGGCTTCTTTTGCATCTGAAATAAAATCTAAACTTTTTACCTACATAGAAATGAATGTTCTATCCCTATCTTCCCAGGTTCATTTCAGGCCATTTTCCTCCATGACACAATTGCTCTCCGATCATAAAAAAAAATTGGCCTTCTTTTCTGTTCCTATAACTCTCCAAAGTCCTCTGTAACTCTCTGCTACTCTGTGGAGGGTATTATTTTCTAAAATGAATGCCTTCTCCTTTCAAGTCTCAGCCTAAATGTTACCAACTCAGAGAAGATTTTCTCTGACCATCCTAGCTAAAGTTATTCTACATCTACATGTATAGCATCCTTTTCTCTTTTTAAAATTTGTTATTGTTGGGGCTGGGAATATGGCTTAGTGGTGGAGTGCTTGCCTAGCATGCATGAAGGCCTGGGTTCACTCCTCAGTACCACATAAACAGAAAAAGCCAGAAGTGACACTTTGGCTCAAGCAGTAGAGTGCTAGCCTTGAGTAAAAGAAGCTCAGGGACAGTGCCCAGGGCCCTGAGTTCAAGCCCCAAGAATGGCAAAAAATAAATGTTAGGAAGAAAAATTTAAAAATAAAAATAAAATGTTATTGTTATGTTTCTAACATATTTATAAGGTACTATGTGATTTTTTTGTTGCTTTGTATGTTCCTCTCCCACGGTATAACCCCTGTTTTCACTGTATTTGATGTTGGTATAATTTGGGGAGGGGAAGGGAAAAAAACAAAATGTTTAAATAGGGATACAGGTGGGCCCATTGCAACAATGAGATGTAGAAGACACTATGTTGAAAAATGAACTTTAAAATTTAGGCGGGGGGTTGGGTGGGGGGGGGTCAGTGGGGAGAGTTTAGGTGTGGAGGTGGGAGGGAAGGGATGGTAGGGGAAAAACAAAGGAGAAGGCAACATTACCTTGCTCATGTAATTGTAACCCCTCAGTACAGTATTTTCACAATAAAAAAAATTACAAAAAAATGTTATTATTATTATAAAAGTGACATACAGAGGTTACAGTTACATAAGTCAGGTAAAGAGTTCAGTTCTGCCAGGCACCGGGGTGGTCTCACCTGTAATCCTAGCTACTCAGGAGGCTGTGAGCTGATGATCACAGTTCAAAGCCAGCCTAGGCAGGAAAGTCCGTGAGATACTTACTTCCAATAAACCACCAGAAAACAGGAAGTGGCACTGTGGCTCAAGTAGTAGAGCACTAGCCTTGAGCTGAAGACCTGAGCGACAGCACCCAGGCCCAGAGTTCAGGCCCCATGACTGACCAAAAAAAAAAAGAGTTCAGTTCTTTTTGTACAATGTCACCCCTTCCTTCACTCTCTCCCAGTTTATAACATCCTTTTCATAAGTATTTTAAAGGCATTTAACACTATTGGATTAGTTGTTTGCTTTTTTGACTGACATTAGAAAGAACTCTCTTTCAAGAACACGCTTACTCCTGTTCCTATCCAAAATGTGTTCATCACAAAACAGGCACTCAATATGCCTTAATGAAGAAGGTTAGGTGTCATGAATAAAAACTCATCTTCACAATTTCAATTTTGCAGGAACTGATTTTTTTTTCAACAGGGTCTTGCTATGTAGCCTAAAACTTGCTAACTAACCCAGGGTACCTCTGAACTTATGATCCTCCTGACTCAGCCTCTCAAGTGGCAGTATTACAGTCATGAACAACCACATCCAGTCTAAATGTCATACATATATTATAAAATATTATGATGAGTAGCCAGGTGCCAGTGGCTCACACCTATAATCCTAGCTACTCAGAAGGCTGAGTCAGGAGGATCTTTGTTCAAAGCCAGCTCGGGCAGGAAAGTCCAGGAGACTCTTATCTCCAATTAACCATCAGAAAACTAGAAGTGGTGCTTTGGCTCAAGTGGTAGAGTGCTAGCCTTGAGCTGAAGAGCTCAGGGACAGTGCCTAGGCCCATAGTTCTATTCCCACAACTAATCCAAAAGAAAAGTTTCGTTAAGTGTGCAAGAAGTTTGATAGTCTATTGAAAATTTTTTTTTTCCTTTCTTGGTAGTACTGAGAAACTTGTTCTTGTTCTTGAGCTAGGTAGGCATTGTACCATTTGAGCCATATCTCCAGTCCCTATTTGAATTATTTTCCCTGGGAACCATTACACCTACACCTACACATATTGCTTTCTCCTGAGGCTGGGATAACACAGGCACATGCTATACTGTGCCCAGCCATTGATTGAGATGGAGTCTCTCAAACCTCTTTTTTGCCTGGGTTGACCTAAAAAATGTAATCACCAGATTCCTGTCTCTTAAGTAGCTAGGATTATAGACTCGAGCCTCTGTGCTCTGCTTACTGTAAAAACTTAAACTAAAACAAAGCCAGAATTTGTGACAACCTATATATATATATATCCTATATATGCATATATATACATATATATGAAAATTATTTCTTTTACTACCTTGGAAATGGAATGGAGGTCCTTACACACTTAAAAGACAAAAATCTCTGCCACTGAGCTACATTCCCTTATCAAAGGAAATTAACTAATTGATTTATTTATCTTCTTGTAATATTCAGTTTTCAGATTTAAATTCAATTTAAATTCAATTGAATTTAAGCCTACCTAAGCCACTCTGTCAACCTACTTTTTTTTTTTTTTTTTGCATTGGTTATTTTATAAAGAGAGTCTCTCTTTGCATCTGGACGCTGGCCTTGACTCTGATTCTACTTATGCTTTCATGAGTTGGATTAACAGGCACTGTCTACTGGATCCTGTCATTGGTTAAGATGTAATCTCCCAAAAACAAGTCGTTTAAGGATACAGGTGAACCTGTTGCAACAATGAGAAGTACAAGTTGTCATGTCGAAAAATGAGCTTTACAACATTGCTGGGGGGGGGGAGGCTGGGAAGGGATGTGAAGGGTAAACAAAGGAGGAGGCTGCAATGCTTGATAAGAAATGTACGCATTATCCTGCCCATGTAATTGTAACCCCTCTGTACAGTACGTTCACAAAAAAATAAAATAAAATAAAATGAAAAAAAAAAAAAGATGTAATCTCCCTCTGGTAGTTTTTTTGGTGGACGGGGGCAGTTAGTTAAGATTTACAGGCTTCAGCCAACATGCCCGGCTGGAAATTTATTTTCAGCCCTAATCAAGAAATAATTCATTAAATTATTAGGATAATATTAAAGAAGAGATACAAAGCTGGGCACCAGTGGCTCATGCTTACAATCCTAGCTACTCAAAGTGGCTGAGATCTGAGGATCATGGTTCACAGCCAGCCTGGCAGTAAAGTCTGTGAGTGAGAATCTTTTTTTTTTTTTTTTTGGTGGGTTGTGGGGCTTGAATTCTTGGGCTTGGGTGCTGTCCCTGCGCTCTTCAGCTCAAGAGGGGCACTCTATTGCTTGAGCCACAGCGTCACTTCCGGTTTTCTGGTGGTGGTTAATTGGAAATGAGAGTCTCACGGACTTTCCTGCTCAGGCTGGCCTTGAACCATGATTCTCAGATCTCAGCCTCCTGAGTAGCTAGGATTACAGGCATGAGCCACCGGCACCCGGCTTGTCTCAGTTAGTTTAATGTTTTACTATTTCTGGATTCATGTTAGAGTTGTCAAATACAACATATAGAACAAAAGTAGAAAAAGGATACTAAGACTTACATATTTTTTTTGTAAAGCATCATAGCACCCTAGCATCCTAAAAACAAACAAACAAAACAAAGATGCATTTTAGATTGAATGCAATTTCAAAAACTACTTTTCATAAATTTCTATGTTACCTCACTATTAAATAATACAAAAACTTAACATTAGAAGCATCCTTATTTTTAGCTTTAAATAAAGCAAAATTCAATATATGAAATAATTTTGCAAAAAAAATGATACTGGATGGAAGGTATTTGTGAGGACAAGAAGGAAAATAAAGCTGTTTACCTGGGGCATAAAGAATAATTTTAATGTATAAATTAAAACACCTGACAAAAGGGTACTATCACTAAAGGGTCAATCACCAAAATTTGGTTACATATGAATAAGTATTTAATGTACAAAAATAATTTAGAAAAAATGCTAATTTTCTACCCATAGTTATTCTTTTACTTACCATCTCACTAACTGTGTAGAACCTGGACAATTTTTATCTTCTCTCAGAATTTTGACACAAAGATCTAAACACAAAAATTATGAAATAAATATGTTACTGTTAAGTAACAGTAAAAAAATAGATTTTTTAATAGTTTATTTTTTAATTATTTATTTTTTGTTATGGGACTTAAACACAGGGCCTGGTTGCTGTCCCTGAGCTCTTTTGCTCAAAGCTAGTGTTCTACCACTTTGAAACACAGTACCACTTCTGATTTTCTGTTGGTTAACTGGAGATAAAGAGTCTCACAGACTTTCTTGCTCAAGCTGGCTTTGGACTGTTATTCTCAAATCTTAGCCTCTTGACTAGCTAATATTACAAGTGTGCATCACTAGTGCCTGGCTAAAGTTTATTTTCTTTAGCTATGGTATATAATTAAAGGCAATGAACTTCCAAATGATTGGTATTATTAACATAAAAGAAGAAAAGTTACATAAATGTACTCTTTTATCTTTATTATAAAATGTCATTATAATGATGGAAATTTAAATTGATGGGTAGAAAAAAATTTGTTTAATGTGATAATGGAAGTGAACTCAAGGCTTCAAATTTATTTTAATCCTTGAGACACTCACCTAGTCTTTTAACTTTTGGTTTGTTTTTTCTTTTCTTTTTTTTTTTTGGGTCCGGTCGTGGGGCCTCAACTCTGGGCTTGGGCGCTGTCCCTCAGCTCTTCATCTCAAGGCTAGCACTCTACCACTTGAGCCACAGTGCCACTTCCAGCTTTTTTCTTTTTGCTTATGTGGTGTTGAGGAATCGAACCCAGGGTCTCAGGCATGCAAGGTAAGCGCTCTACCACTGAGCCACCTTCCCAGCCCATGCATTCTATAATTTTTAAGAGTGTCAGGAATGGATGTAATAGGATCATAGACTAAGGCCACCCTTCCCCAGGGCAAAAGTATGGTGACGCTATCTGAAAAAACAAACCAAGGGGCTGGGAAGGTGGCTCAGTGGTAAAGTGCTTGCCTTGCATGCATGAGGCCCTGGGTTCGATTCCTCAGCACCACAAAAGTAAAAAGAAAAAAGCTGGAAGTGGTGCTGTGGCTCAAGTGGTAGAGTGCTAGCCTTGAGGTTGAAGAGCTGAGGGACAGCGTCCAGGCCCAGAGTTCAGGCCCCACAACTGGACCCCCCCCCCAAAAAAAAATTATAGAATACAGAAAATTAGATATTTTAGAACCTTAAGAGTGTTTTTGGGACTGGGAAGGTGGCTCAGTGGTAGAGCGCTTGCCTTGCATGCCTGAGGCCCTGAGTTCGATTCCTTAGCACCACATAAGCAAAAAGAAAAAAGCCGGAAGTGGCACTGTATCTCAAGTGGTAGAGCGCTAGCCTTGAGCTGAAGAGTTGAGGGATAGCACCCAGGCCCAGAGTTCAAGTCCCATGACCGGCCAGACCCAACAAAAATTTAAAAAAAAAAAAAAAAAAAGTGTTTTCTTTTTTTTTTATTTTAACATTTTTTTTTTTTTTGTCGGTCGTGGGGCTTGAACTCTGGGCCTGGGCGCTGTCCCTCAGCTCTTCAGCTCAAGGCGAGCACTCTACCACTTGAGCTACAGCACCACTTCCTGTTTTCTGGTGGTTTATTGGAGATAGGAGTCTCACGGTCTTTCCTGCCCGGGCTGGCTTTGAACCGCGATCCTCAGATCTCAGCCTCCTGAGTAGCTAGGATTACAGGCGTGAGCCACCAGCGCCCGGCAAAAAAAAAGTGTTTTCTATCGTCCTTTATCCAACTGAAATACTGTAAAGACCAAGAAGTTAATTGGTATCAAAGACAAAGAATTCTGTAAAAAAGTAAAATTAACAGAATGAAAAGGTCTTGAGAGTATCTCTCCTTATTGGAAAAATAGGAGCCAAGCACAACCAACTCACATCTGTAATTCTAACTACTCAAGAAGCTGACATCTGGAGGATTGTGGTGGCTTAAAACTCAGAAAAAGTTCACTAAACTCCATCTCTAAAGTGACTAACAGTCAAGGGCCAATGGTTTATGCCTGTAATCGTAGTTACTCAGGAGGGTGATATCTCAGATCTGGTTCAAGGATCTCCAGATCAGACAGTAAAGTCCATGAGACTCTTATTTTCTCTGTCTCTGTCTCTCTGTGCTGTGTGTGTGTGCTGTGTGTGTGTGTGTGTGTGTGTTGGTCCTGGGGCTTGCACTTAGGACCTGAGCTCTAGCCCTGAGCTGTAAGCTCAGGCTAGCACTCATCACTTAGGCAACTTCCAGCTTTTTTGGGGGGAGAGGGGGAGGGGGGTGGTTAATTGGAGGGCTGGCTTCAAATGGCGATTCTTACATCTTATCCTCCTGAATTGTTAGGATTACAGTGAGCTACTAGCACCCAAGCCAGTGAGATTCTTACGTCCAATATCCACCAAAAAGCCAGAAGTGGAGCTGTGGCTCAAGTGGTATAATGCCAGCATAGCAAGCCCAATATTTTGAGTTCAAATCCCAGTACCCTACACATACATACACATAAAAAGAAAATAGGCATAATATCTACTTCACAGGATTATGAGTTTAAAAGGCAGTATATATACCATAGTGCTTTATAGATCTTGGCATAGTTGGTGTACAATAATATGTACATACTATATGTTGGGAAGTAACTATTGTTGCATAAATGTGCTATTTTTTCACCTCTTTAAAATGGCACAAGAACATAAACTCCCACTTTACAAAGTTACAAATAACAATGTTTTCATCTATTTAATTCATTGTAAATGTAATATCAAGTGAGTTATACTTAAGAAACAAGGCAATTTTTTATACTTAAGTGCTTTCAATGTTACTGAAAATACTTGAATATGAATGTTACATTATACATAACAGCCAAAAAAGGGGAAAACACTCAAATGTTCACCAACTGATGAGTGAGTGATAGCAATACAATGGAACATTATCTAGCAATGAAAAAAGATAAAGTACTAATCAATGCTACATGCAGGAACATCAAAACAAAAAAAAAGGATGCTAAAATAAGCTAGTTTCTGGGTCACAAGTTCAACAAGAAATGTACTCACTACCTTGCGTATGTAACTGTAATCTCTTTGTATATTACCTTGACAATAAAATTAAATTTAAAAAAGAAGCTAGTCACTAAAGCTACATATTATAATTCCTTTTATATGAAATGTCAAGAATAAGTAAATCCCATAGAAACAATGTAGATTGGTGGTTGCCTAGTGGTGGGAAGCTTGATGGGGTGGTAGAGGGCAGTGGATAGAACTTAACATGTGCCGGGCTCTGGTGGCTCACACTTTTAATCCTAGCTACTCAGGAGGCTGAGATCTGAGGATCACGGTTCAAAGTCAGCCCAAGCAGGGAAGTCTGTGAGACTCTGATCTCCAATAAACCAGCAGAAAACCAGAAGTGGCCCTGTGGCTCAAGTAGTAGAGCACTAGCCTTGAGCTGAAGACTGAAGGACAGCACCAAGGCTCAGAGTTCAAGCCCCATGACCGACAAAAAAAAAAAAAAAAACTTAACATGTGTGAGGTTTCTTCTTTGGGGTAATGAAAATAATGTACTAAAATTGTGGTGGGAGCAGCATAACTTTGTGAACATTCTGAAGTCACTGAATTGTAAACTTTGAGTGAATTGTCAGATATGTGAATTATATCTTAAAAAAGCTGTTACCAAAAAATAAAATGTCTAAGTAAAAAAGTTACTGTATAAGGGGCTTGGAATGCGGCTTAGTGGTAGAGTGCTTCCCTACTATGCTTGTAGCCCTCAGTTTGATTCCTCAGCAGAAAAGGCTGAAGTGCCACTGTGGCTCTAGAGGTAAAGTGCTAACCTTGAGCAGAAGCTCAGGGACAGTGCCCAGGCCCTGAGTTCAGGCCCCAGGACTGGCAAAAAAAAGTTACTGTTTTAGAGTAATTAAAAAATGTTAAACAAAGTTTTAAAAATTACATTACCATCTAGATATCTTGTTCCATAAGCACTTTCTGGAAATATTCCTCTCAAATATGTGATACAGGATACTGAAACTGCTAGTAGCCTCTTCACTAAAACCAAAGACTGCTGCTCAGTTGATATCTTACTGGGAAATACCAATGCACTCTAAAATTCAAGGAAAATTAAAACATGTTACATACAAGTATTAAAATAGTTTTTCCTTGGACTTAAATATTGTGCACTCTGAAAGAATTCCTCTTCATAGTACTTTGTAATCCCAGAAAGTCAGGGTGGCTTCTAACATGTCAGACTGTTTCTAGGGTAATGATCTAAAAGTAATGCACAGAAAATGTTTAAGAATTTTAATGATCTACTTGCAGATTAACTGTACTTAATACACAAATGGATTATATTGATTTTCCTCTTTAATCATTGACTAGGTTTTAACAAGATTAACCACAAAGCGTGGTGGTTTGCAAATAACACAATTTTATTTGTTTCTGAGTCAAGGAAATTTTCTAAGGATGGACTACTTCTGAACTATTTAACTCAAGCAGTAGAACAGCATTAACACCTAATCTAAAATCAGAACCAACAATTTAATACAACCAACTCATTAATTTACAATAGTTTAGCAAATATCTTCCTAAATAACTTCTTTTCTTAAAATACAGGGTTTCCTAGTATTATTAAATCCTTAAACAGTTAACTCCCAAAAATAAAGTAGTTGAGCCTATTGCTAGTGGTTCACATCTGTAATTCTAGCTATTTGGGAAGTTTAGAAAGGGAGGATTTCCAGACCAGCAGGGCCAGAAAAGTCCAGAGACTTCTCTATAGAGGGAAGTTGAAAATGAGTGGCAAATCTCTATGATCCCAGCAAGACAGGAAACTACTAAAGTAGTAGATCTCAGCTTAGGCATACATAGCTGACCTGGCTGGAGAGTCTATCCTAAAAATATCCAGTAAAGAAAAAAAAAAACTACAGGGTCAAAGGCAAGGCCCTGAGTTCAAACCCCAGCACTGCTACAAATAAAAATTAATTAACACATATTAAGTTATAAGAAATCATACCATGGCAGTCCTCTGCAACTGTGCAGTGGCCATCTTCTTCTGATACTTTCTTTAATTCAACCTGTGACACAATACAAGCCCTTGATTTTAGATCTTATTCTTATCTCCGACACTCTAGTTTATTACAAATACTGTGAAGAATTTTATCTGAATAAATATGAGAAGCAAAACAGAATCTTCAAAAATGTATATTTTGAGTAAGGTCCTAAATATAAGCCATTTTGACGAGTAGTCTTACCTCAATGACTAAGAGTGTGAGTGTGTGTGTGCGTGTGTGTGTGTGTGTGTGTGTGTGTCTTTCTCGTAGGTCTCATACATGTTCTATTGCTAAACCATTCCCTCTCCTCAAAGAAACTCTTCACACAGGTTTTGTCTTTGCTGTTTTGAGGATGGGTCTTGCTCTGTCCCCCAGGTTGGCCCAGAAATCCCTGGGCTCCTGTGACCTCCCATCACACCTTCCGCTTCCGCCTCTAGTGGCCGGCAGGGACCCGGTTTTGTGTTGGCAGGATGAGCTCTGCACTGGAGGCCGCGCCGGCGCAGTAGGTGCTCTGCCGCTTGAGCCAGGCTGCTGGCCCTAGACGATATTTTTACTAACACACCAACTTTCTTTTCTTCACTCTACCGCAGTCATGGCTTGTCAGCACTGCATAGGTCAGGTATTAAGTACTGAAAAGAGAAATCACCCCGACAAAGCCCTTTCATAAGCGTCTTCCCATTCGGAATGAAGGTTACTGCTGTAGTCGAGCGATGTAACTTTTCCTCAGCGCCGCTCCGCTGTGAATATTTCTGTCAGAAAGGTTAAAGGGCAACAAAAAAAAATCTATTTAAAAAAAAAATCGACGCCGATCCCGGTTTCCCAAGCGTAACTTGAGAAAAAGAATGCAAATTTCTTTTAGCTTCCATTTACTTTCCTTCATCCGGCAACTCGACTAGAAGCGTGCCGCTACTCACACCTCCCAGAATGGTCTATTTGCCAGAAGCCTTTAAAGTTATCCTGACAGAAGCTGGGCCCGCGGCCCGCGTCCACTGTTATCCGGGGGAGCTCTTGTGGAAAATAACACATCTTTTCTCAACTACTTTGCCACTTGAGCCTTCAGAAACTTAACCGTGGGCGAAAGGTGACAGAAAAGAGACTTAAAATGAAAAACGGACAAAGAAAACCCCAGACAAACAACATGCATTACATCAAGTACCAGAGCCTGGCGCCGGAGACCACGCGACCTGTGAAATGACGCACGTGTGGTCCAGTGCGCATGCGCCCTTCTTCAGCCGTTAGTGGCAGACGCGCTGCAACAGGAGCCTTTTGACTCCCTCCCGCCCCCCCCTCCGCTGGTCAGGTCACCTTTCCCGCCAAGAACTGTGCAAGGCACGCCGGGAATGTACATGCGCAGAAAGGCTACACGGTCCTCTCAGATGCCGTTAGGAAAAGATTCATTGCCTGTGCAGTGTTCCTGAGATACGTAGCTTCCCTGATGGACCAAAGTGCTCTCAGCCACTGTTTACTTCGACTTGTTTTCTGACTTGTTTTTGATAAGTTACACATTGCGTTCTTCCACTCTCTTTTGTCTATAAGAAAACAGTTGCTCCAACAGTCTCATTAGGCTGTTTGTTTGGTTTGGTTTTTGTTTTGTTTTGCCTTTTCTAAAGACAAGGTCTCTCTTTGAAGCCCAGTTTGGCCATTGAAGAAACCATCCACGGCCTCAGCCTTTGCAGTGCTGTGATTACAGGTATGATCCACCATTCCAGGTTTCGTTCCTACTGAACAGTGAGGTCACTGAGTAACTTGGAAAGTCATCTGTGTCTCATTTAGAAACAAAATAATATCAGAAGGGGTATCAGTTGGAGATTGTCCAATAGTACAAGCTGCTTATTTTACTTAATTTTATATTTCATATATCTAAATTAATTGTGTTAGTAATGCAAACATAAATTTTCATAAACTTTGGCATGTCTTCATTACAAAGGAAAGGAACATCCTAGATATGAAAAGATTTGTTGGACCTCATTCATTTTGGGACAATGAAGACTAGAAGAGTTTTTCAGGATAAAAATGAGAAAACTGGTCTGATGATTATTTTGCCATATATTTCTATCACATTGAAAGTTTACAAGGGCCTTTCAAATTCGCTGTCATATTCTTACTTTGCTTCTACAAGGAGAGCTTAGTGAGAAAGATGCAGGTATTAACTTGCCTTTTCTGCTGTCTCCTTTTTTTTTGCCAGTCCTTGGGCTTAACTCCCGGAGCTTCTTTTTACTCAAAGCACTTTACCACTTAAGCCACAGCACCACTTCCGACTTTTTCCGTTTATGTAGTACTGAAGAATGGAATCCAGGCATTCAAGCAGCCCCCCCCCCCTTTTTTTTTTAAATTGGTTTTGTGCTAGGGATGAACTTTAGAGATGAGTAAATAGTCTCAGGCAAAGCTGGTTTCCCAAGATCACAACAAATAGCTTGGCAGGGAGGGCCACTATACCACCTAAATATGACATTGAATTTCTGACATATTGGTTCAATGTTCAGTATCACAAGAGAAAGAAACTAGTAACTGTGGTTAGTTCTAAGGAGGAATGCTCTGAGCCTTCCTCAGCAGTGGTATAGAGATATTTTGTTTCTTCTGAATGTACATACACAGGTAGAACTTGCCCATTGATTATTTGTAACCCTCCAACTTGGAATTGGTTCAATATGATTTTTGCAGTCATTTAAAGACATTTACAAAATAGTAAAAAAAAAAAACACAAAACACCCTGAATCTCATTATACATATTCCCCATACAACATCAGGTGAAACAAGGTAAAAATCTTCTTGTTTCAGCTGTTATATGGAACAAACATCCTTTTTTCTTTTCTTTTTTTTTTTGTTGGTTGTGGGGCTTGAACTCTGGGCTTGGGCGCTGTCCCTGAAGTCTTCAGCTCAAGGTGAGCGATCTACCACTTGAACCACAGCACCATTTCTGGTTTTCTGGTGGTTGGAGATAAGAGTCTCATAGACAGGGCTGGGAAGGTGGCTCAGTGGTAGAGCGCTTGCCTTGTATGCCTGAGGCCCTGGGTTCAATTCCTCAGCACCACATAAGCAAAAAGAAAAAAGCCGGAAGTGGCGCTGTGGCTGAAGTGGTAGAGCACTACCCTTGAGCTGAAGAGCTGAGGGACAGCGCCCAGGCCCAGAGTTCAGGCCCCACAGCCGGACCCAAAAAAAAAGAGTCTCACAGACTTTTCTGCCCGGGCTAGCTACTCAGCCTCCTGAATAGCTAGGATTACAGGCGTGAGACACCAGCACCTGGCCAAACATCCTTCTTGAGCTCAGTTTAGTGTCATGTTTTTGCATCTTTGTGGTATTTGGTGGGGAGATGATTTTGCTGTCTGAATATAAGGATAATATTGAAGTCCTGCCTCATATTCCTAAGTGTAAGAAGGTTGTGATGTGCTTTATGGTGAAAATACGTGAGTTAGCTAAGTTTAGTCCTGTTATGAATTACAGTGCTATTGGATATCAGTTCAATGTTAAAGAATCAATAATACATGCTTTATTTGTTTTTACATAGAAATACATGTAAAATGAGGTTGTATATTGATCAGTTGGCAAAAAATTTGATGATAAGAAACTTACCAGAATTTTTTTTTTTTTTTTTTTTTTGGGTCCGGTCGTGGGGCCTGAACTCTGGGCCTGGGTGCTGTCCCTCAGCTCTTCAGCTCAAGGCTAGTGCTCTACCACTTGAGCCACAACGCCACTTCCGGCTTTTTTCTTTTTGCTTATGTGGTGCTGAGGAATCGAACCCAGGGCCTCAGGCATGCAAGGCAAGTGCTCTACCACTGAGCCATCTTCCCAGTCCACTTACCAGAATTTAACCCAGTACTTGCTCTTGAAGTGATGGTTCAGTATTTCCTAATACATTTTTCACAGTGATTTTGTTGTTGTTGGTCGTGGGTCTTGAACTCTGGGCCTGGGCCCAGTTCCTGGGTTTTTCAGCTAAAGGCAAGTGCTCTACCACTTGAGCCACAGCAACACTTCCAGTTTTCTTGTGGTTAATTAGAGATAAGTCTCACAGACTTTCCTTCCTGGGCTTGCCTTGAACCACAATCCTCAGATCTCAGTTTCCTGAGTAGCTAGGATTGCAGGCATGAGCCACAGGTACCTGACTACTTATCTTTAATGAAGCAAAAAGGAGAGAACAAAATCAACATGAAAATAGAGGTTTGGGAGAGGAAGTAGAAAGGGAAAGAGAGGAAAGGGATGTGTGTGTGTGTGTGTGTGTGTGTGTGTGTGTGTGTGTGTGTGTGTGTGTGTGTGTGTGTGTGTGGATTTACAGTAGTGGGTATCAAACCCTGGCCTTTATACATGCTAAGTAACTGTACTATCACTGCATTATATACCCAGTCCAAGAAAAAAGAAAAGTTTATTTAATTATTTTTGTGTGTATTGGTCCTTGAAGATTTTTTTTTTTTTTTTTTAGCTTATGGCTAATACTCTACCATTTGAGCTACAATTCCACTTCTGGCTTTTTGGTGGAGATAAGAGTCTCACAGATTTCCTGCCCAGGCTAGCTTTGAACCATGACCCTCAGATCTTGGCCTCCTGAGTAACCTGGAATAACAAGGTGTGAGCCACCAGCACCCAACTTTGAATTGTTTTAGATTTTATTTTTTATTTTTTTTTATTCCGGTCCTGGGCCTGAACTCTGGGCCTGGGCACTGCCCTCAGCTCTTCAGCTCAAGGCTAGCGCTCTATCACTTGAGCCACAGCACCACTTCTGGCTTTTTTCTTTTTGCTTATGTGGTGCTGAGGAATCGAACTCAGGGCCTCAGGAATGCAAGGCAAGTGCTCTACCACTGAGCCACATTCCCAGCCCTAGGATATAGTTTTTACTTGTCAACACTTTAAATATTCTGGTCATCCATTTGTAACACTTGTAAAGGCTTTAAAATGGGAAGTGTGTGAAAAATTGAAAATGGGGGTGCTGGGAAGGTGGTTCAGTGGTAGAGCGCTTGCCTTGCATTCCTGAGGCCCTGGGTTCGATTCCTCAGCACCACATAAGCAAAAAGAAAAAAGCCAGAAGTGGTGCTGTGG